GCTATTCCTTTCTCTCCCCCTCCAGTGTCTATTTTATAATATAATGCAAGGAAAACCAAGATTCAAAAGACAGCCAAGCATCTTAATATTATTACCCCCTTTTCCACATTCCAACCATGGCTCGATCTCTGTATCCCAGAACCCTGTTGTTCTCGAGTTGTGCCAACTGATTCTTGTATGTTGGACTTCTACCCTGCCACTTTGCTGAATCTTCCAATGAGTTCCAGTAGTTCTTTTGCTTCCGTTACCTTTTGATGCTTTGAGATCCTTCAGTGTTTCAAGTCAAGGCTTGAATTTTTTCTTCAGCTGGAGAAATGCTGAGTGTGTTCTTCCCTTTTTGTTTCCTAACTCCAGTTCTTTGCACATTTCTTAATAGTATTTAACTTTGTCTTTTCAAGCTGTACATTGAAAATATCTGTTTAACTCTTTTACCTTCTAATTGCTTCCATTTGCTCTAGTATTTCTATGTTGGAGAACAAATATCAGAGTTTCTTCTGACATCCATTTTGGACTTTTTCTTCTTTCTTGTCTTAACTCCATGTTCTGAGTATTAATGGATGTTTGCAGCAGCTTCTCCTCATTTTGAGTTGTGCCCCATCAGCAAATGAAGGTCCTGAAAACTTTACTCCTTCCATGTTATCAGATTCACCTTTACTTTGAGGAGGCAGCACTTTCCCAGTCATATTTTGAGTGCTTTCCAATCTCAGTGGCTCATTTTCTGGCACTATATCTGACAATATTCAGGTGTTCTTCATTTCATGTTTCAGTATTCAGTATTTTGGTGCTGATAGTGTTCCACTGCTGTTCATAGCATTTTCAGTAACTAAATATTCAGAAGTAGCCTGTGCCTCCTTCTTTCTAGTTTCTTACTCTGGAAGCTTATCTGAAACCTGTTCACCATGGGTGATCCTAGCTGGTATTTACAGTACCGTTGGCTTAGCTTTCAGAATCATAGTATTACACAAGCCACCACAGTATGACAAACTGACAGATGAGCGGTGGCCGCATCTCTTAATGTGTTATGAATATGCTCATCTATCTCCTGTATTTTTCTTCACTGGTAGAGGACTGACTTAATTTTTAGTATTAATTTTTCAGACAAGAACGTCATGCATCTGGAGGCTACTTCCATCAGTTGTTTTTCTTTGTGATGTTACCAGCCATTGATGCTTATTGCCTAGATCCATTATTTAACTAGGGTTTAAACATGGTGATAGTTTGATCTTAAGGTATTAATTGGAATGCTTCTCTAAAAGTCAAGTTTGAATTTTAAAGCAGATTTTTCATAATTTTTCAGGATGGCTTCTTTTGGATGGAAGAGAAAAATTGGCGAGAAGGTCTCAAAGGTCACTTCCCAGCAGTTTGAAGCTGAAGCTGCTGATGAGAAGGATGCGGTTGAGAATGATGATGGCAACTGGCTTCACGCCATTAAACGTAGGAAGGAAATTCTCCTTGAAGACTGTGCTGAGAAAAGTAAACAGTTGAAGGATGAAGGAGCCAATTTGGCTGAAAAGAAAAGGTGTGGTTTTATAATTTTCTTATAGAGAACACTTTACATTTTCTGACTCACTGTCATCAGTGGGATGGCGAGCTTTGAATTCTCTCTAAATGAATTAATGAATTAAAAAATCGGTCCTAGATCTTAAGTTAGTAAAAAATATAAGAAATTTAAACATTACATGAAAATTTTTGTAGAAGATGAAAGTGCATATAACAGATGCTCTTATTTCTGTTTTCCCATCATTTTTTGTACTGCCTGAAGAATGTAATCTTCCTTCTTGGTTTGTAGGAGATGGGCTAATGTCTGGAAACTTTTTCCCTATGGTACTATATGTATAGGAAATTATTTCTAGGTCAGTTAAGCATTTTCTGAACAGCTTTGAAAGAGCCCTAGTGATGTAATGGGTTAAGTATTGAACTGTTAACTTTGAGAACTCATACTTTCTTTTCGTTTTGCTTTCAAAATAGGTGATCAGTTATCCTCTACCATTTCTTACAGAAGAATTTGATAATAGCTTCAACTATACATATCTCTTTCTCATTTAAGCCATTATATATTTCCAGTATGTACCATTTTCATTTTCTTTTTCCTTAGCTTTTTTTCTTATTTATCATTTCTTTCCTTTTTCCTCTGCTTAGATCTTTCAGTGGGACTGAAAAATCTTTCTTCCACAAATCAGTGGGGAAAGGATGAATGGTCTACTAGATTTTGTTGGAAGAACTAGATTATTATATAGAGAAAAAGAAGACCGAATCCTGATGTATCTACTGTCACATGACTAAATAGACCTTTGTTGTTGTTAAGTGCCTTCCAATTGGTTCCAGCTCATAGTGACTCTGTACGGGGCTTTCTAGGCTGTAAAGCTTTGTGGGAACCTTGTTTTCCTGTGGAGTGGCTGGTGGGCTTGAACCACCTGTCATGTGGTTTACAGTCCAGTGTTTATCCTAATTTTAAACTTAGTGTAACAGGCAAAATTATACAATTAATCAAAGAAAATATGGAAGGACTTCAAAAATAAAAAAGAACATTTTTAGTTTTAAATATTGCAAACGTTCTATAAAGTGGAAACCAATAGTGGGCTACCTATATTCCCTCTATGTAGACTCAAACATTTTTAGTATTTGCTTTCTCTCTCTCTTCCTGTACATACACACATATAATTGTGTTTATTTTTTTGCTGATCCATTTCAAACTAAGGTGCAGATGTTATGAAATCTTATCCCAATTCAGCTTTCTTTTCAAAGAATAAGGGTATACTTTTTACCTGACGTAAGATCATTATATCATTGAAAATTAATAGTAATTCCATGATTTTTCCAGTTTTCCTCTAAATGTCTTATATTTTTAGAAACCAGCATCCAAACAGAATTTGTGTATTGCATTTGCTTATTAGGTTTCTTTCATACTAGCAAGTGGATAGAAAACATAAAAGAATAGAAGTCAAACACTGATTTGTTATATGTTGATATTAAGAAATTCCTACTAATTGAAGTATGATGATAATATTGTGGTATGTTTATAAAAAAAAAAGAGTCTGTCTTTTAGAAAAGCATACTGAAATGTTTTACATAAAATTATATTATATCTTGGAATTATTTCAAAGAAATGGAAAGGTCCTGGTGTGGCGCTGTGGGTTAATGTGCCAGACTACAAAGCTGTTTGAACTGCAAGGTTGGCAGTTCAAGCTCACCAACTGCTCCTTGGAAACCCTATACAGTGTCTCTATGGGTCGGAATCAACTTGACGGTACTTAACAACAAGAACATAAATTATTAGAAGCTGAGTCTGTTAATCTATAATGGATTCCCTACTTTTCCCCCCATAACATTGACTTTTTTGTAGGACCAGTTTGCTATTTAAATATTTTCTTGTTAATGTCATTTAGCTTCTTTTTTTAAGTCACATTGGTTTTGTTTTTTGTTTTTTGTTTTTTTGCCCTTAAAGGATGACGCTAACTGAAATAATAAAACATAATAGAGACAGAAAATTCTATTAAAAACTGGGTCAACTGGTTTTAGATAACATTATTGTTAAAGGGAAATCTTACTCATCTTTCTCAATTTGTTGTTGTTAAGTGTCATTGAGTTGGTTCTGACTCATAGCAACCCTGTGTAGGGTTGTGAGGCTGTAAATCATTGTGGGAGCAGAAAGCCTTATCTTTTCTCCTGCCAAGTAGCTGGTAGGCTTGAACTACCAGCCTTACGGTCTTCCTTCCAGTGATTATCCTACACAGCCATTGTGCTCCCTCTTCTTAGCCAGTGTAGTTGTTGAGTGCAGTCGAATCATTTCCAACTCTTACGGATCTTGTATAGGGTTTCAAGGAGTAGCTGCTGAGTTTGAACCACTGACCTTACTTATCCTATAGCACCACACCAGGACTCTTGTCAGTCAACAGTACCTATAAAATTAACACATGAATGAAGAACTCAATGAAAAAATTCTATGCAATGTTAAAAAATATGTTTTGATAAAGGTTCCCTTTTGTCCTCAAAACTTTTTAGTTATAGGGATCTCCCAGTGGTGACAAACTCTCCTACTGACAGCAGACAGTTGGCCTCACTGGAGCTTTCCATGGGGTTTTACATCGAATTTAAATTCCCATCATATGTTGTTTTATAAACTGGAAATTAAGTTTAGAGGCTTGATTGAGATTCTGATTAATCCTTTTAGTCTTGACTATTTTATTGGAGTGTTTTGTATATGGTTGTTGTTGTTAGGTGCCATCGAGTCGGTACCGACCCATAGCGACTTGATGCACAGCAGAACAAAACACTGCCCGATCTTGGGCCAACCTCACTACTGTTGCCACACTGGAGTCCATTGATGCTGCCACTTGGCCAGTCCTTCTCGTTGGGGGTTCTTCCTCTTTTTCTCTGACCCTCCACCTTACCAAACATGATATCCTTTTCCAGTGAATGTTCCCTCCTAACAATATGTCCAAAGTATGAGAGATGAAGTTT